TTTCTTTTCACTGCTTGACATTTCAGTATGATCCCGAGCTGGAAGAAGCATTGGCAAGCCTTCGCGACCCTTCAGAAGAACAGCTAGACATGTTTTATTTTCCTCGTACAGAAATGCACGGGTTTGGATCTTCCTATGCATATGAGGCTGCTACTAATGACTGTGGCATAAACTACCAGTGTGAAACAAATGCATTTGATGAGAATGATTTCATGAACTCGGTCCTTGTTAATACAGACGATGTTCCATGGGGAAATGTTGGACCAGAAACCATATCTTCTGAACAGGCTACGAACCATCTTAACACTATTATGAAACCTTCAGTGATGGACAATGGATTCTCCTGTGAGTCAGATGTAGAGGTGACATCAGGGCTGGTAAGTTCAAAGGTCTTTAAAAATGACCAAGCTTTTTTTGACACCCAACATGAGTTACTTAATATGACATCTGTCCATTTGAGAGTCCTACGGAGCTCTATAACCTCTATTCGATCCTGAAATGGTTTTACCCCCCCCCCCCCCCCCCAACCCAATTTCCCCCACAAGACCTCCTATCCCCCTATGTGGGAGCATTTGATAGTGAATTTTTACTCGTATGAGGGGGCTAGGGGTAGCTAGAACTACTTTGGGGTCGAACAGAACATCATAGGGCCTCCAAATGGACCAACTAATCATATTATGACTCTGGGGTTTGTAAAAATATCCACACTGAGAAAGCTTACACTAACTTACCGAATACTTGAAACATCACACTAAGCTAATCCACTATACTTAACCTATTTGGATGACATCAACAACATTTCATATAGGCATAGATTCATCAATAATCCTCCAAAAAAAACAATGTTGTATCGCTTTTGGTATTTGTAGGTGAAGACAGGTTTTTTGGATGTTGTTCCTACAATGGCATCACTGCATCATGTTTCTAATCCTACTAGATGGGTCTATACTTCTAGTGACCATAACGAGAATGGGAATCTAGAGATAGACAATAGCTACCTCGGACCCTTCTCAGCAGTTTCTAATGGAAGTATAGCTCTCAATGCTGTGAATCTTGAAGGAGCCTGCAGCTCCGCGAATGCACTCAGCAGTTTCGGAACTGGAATAAAACTAAGGACCCGACAAGGGCATATTAGTCAACCATCTGACAGACAGCTCACAATGCAGGGGAGTGCTCCCCGAAGAATTCTTTTACAAGTGTCATCCAAACATGCTAGATCTGAGGTAACCTTATTTCCGTGAATCGTCTTAGGATAAAATCTCAAAGTTTTATCCGTGTAAATTAAGCCAAAAACCAAATATTGTAGCTACTGTCTTGAGGAGATTGTGGTTGCAGACCTAGAAAAGATTTTATACTTTAAGAACAATATTGTAGGGTAGCCTTAAGATACTAATGTGGGTAAATTGATTCAATTGGATTGGTTGTTGGGTTACACAGGAGAAAATCACTTACAAGAAAACATTTCTATTGCTCATGACAAAGGTGCTTGTAGTTGTGAGTCTACTGCTTATGGCATTCATTGGCGGCTGGGCATGCTTACGACTTTGATGGATGTTTTGTTGGAGAACAGAATGTACGTTTTCGACGTTCTCATTAGTTAGCATTTGATTGTATTCATTGCTACCTATTGCCAGTATATATCATTAATGCAGTAGTTTTTGTAAAATTATTGTTTGGTAATCAGAATGTTGACAATGATGTAGGAATTGTTGTATCCTCTTATCAGGTTATGTTATGTTTAAGTTGATTAAGGGTTGGAACAAAAACACATAACCTTAATAAGTCGTTATCACGGCCACAAATAAAAGAATTAACAATGGTGTTGGTGAATTGTAGTGGTTATTTGGTGTTTACTAAGGCCTTGTTTCCTCTGCCTTAATTTAAATTTGACTGAAATCCGGATTACATAGAGGGTGTTTGGGATTGATTTTCAAAATGATTTTCACCCTATGCTTTGGATAGAAGCAAGTTAGAATGTTTGAGATTCTAGTTGTGAAGTTTTTTTCCCCAGAAATCGAAGATCAGCTGAGAAATGTCTCTAAAATATTTGTTTTATTCTGTTAGCAAAATAATTACTCTTTATGTCTCAAATTAAATCGTCTATTTCGGTTTACGATATCTGCTTGAAGTTATTTTCAATTTAATTTATTTGAGAATTAAGATGGAATTAAAAAAGAATAATCATATATTTAAAATCTACGTCAAAAGTTCTATAAAACAAGATGTTATATGATTATATACTTTTATCAAATTAGTAACAAAAATAGAAAAAAATGAATAAAGTTTAATCTTATGAATAATTGAAAGACAACTAATTGGAACCAAGAGACTACATTTAGAAAAAGTTAAAAACATAGCCTCCACTACCACGACCAATCGACCACCACGTTCGCTTTGGGAACCCCACAATTTCATACTCCCTCCGTCCCGTTTTAAATTGTCCGTTTTGACTTTTGGGTATATTTAAGAAAAATTAAAAATAAAGTTGATTTTTCGAAATTGTCAATACTTTTTAGAAGGGATGATGATGAATGAGAATATAATGTGGAGAAGATTGACTTATTTTAGAGGTAGTTTAGGTATTTTATTTTTAAAAGTTTACGAAAACAACTAACAGGAAACTTATTTTGGAACGGAGAAAAAAGACAAACAGACAATTTAAAATGGGACGGAGGTAGTAGTAAGTTTTCGGCTGTGTGATTCATATGACCACAATGAGTACAAATCATTCCATTAGAAGGCCTTCTTGTGGCAAAGGCTATGGCTTCCATATGATCATCTCTTCTTAGGCCAATAAGGCCATGGCGCTTCTAGTGAGTAACCAAAACATATGTTCTATTTAAATCAAGGAGTGGCTCGGTTCCAAGCAACTGAAATCGAATGTAAATACGTTGTCCATCATTAATAATAGAGGAAGCAACACAAGTACAACCGCAAGTTGGATCAATAGAACCATAAAGCCGATTCCACATAGCAATAAATTGATTATAATAATCAACAACATTTTTTCCCTTTTGTCGCAATGATCGTAACTCAGATTTTAACTTCTGAGTCAAATGCCCGTCAAAACAACCATAACGAGCCTTCAAGTATTCCCACAACTCATATGTTATTGTGTGTGTAGTAATACTTGGTTGTATAAACTCACCAACACTATTAAAGATCCAGCTACAAATTATGGAATGGTTTTCTCCCCCATGCAGCTAGTTCTTCGTGACTAGATTTAGGCATACATGTGGTCGTTAAGAACCCAACTTTACCACGACCTCCCAAAGCATTATGGAAGACTTTTTCCCAAATATCATAATAGTGCTCACAGAGTAGATACTTAATCAAGTAATTGTCTGGCCTTTTGGATGGATGAAGGTAATAGAGAGTAGACGGGTCATGGATCATTAGCACCATCTTGGTGTTGTCATGGGATGTTATCGGGCTGCTCAAGGGCTTGGAAGAAACAACAAACTGGACTCGATCCCGCACCTGGACTTGAGCCGCATGACCATTCCTTCCACTTTCTTCCAACTCGTTCTAGCATTTTCCAACTCTTCCGCACCTGGACTTGAGCCGCATTAACTTCTTACATTTTTCAACTCCTTCCAGTTCTTTCCAACTTCTTTCTGTTTTTTCCAACGATAACTTAAAAAATGTATTTATATATGACAAATACAAAAGAATATTATATGGAGTATATCTAAATTTATAGCATCCATATCAAACACAGACATTGATTAATTCTTTTTTATTCAAAATTAGATTTTTCTTACATATGTATTTGATTGATCGTTTAATGGAATGATCTTTTAACACTTAAATTCTTCATACATTTTTCAACCCCTTCTAACTTCTTTCAGATAATTTTAGTTTCTTCTAACTTCTTTCAATTTATTTTAACATCCAATTCTAAAATTTCATCTAAAAAGAAGAGAGCGTAGGGAGTATCATCAGGTCCTCGTGCATATCTATGAGTTGGGCCTTGGGGTGAAAGGAGTCTTCCGATATTCTGGCACTGTCCGAATTTGGATCCGTGGAATTTTTAAATTAAAAACCACAACGGGCCTAAAACAAGGAACCAAAACTAAAATTAGGTGGACATGGACTGCGCTGGGCATATTCCAGTTCGGAACGGGCTTTACATCAACCGGAAGCAATTACGGAATATTAAAATCATTTAATGTTGTATATTTGGGTTCATCTTAGAATATAAAAAATGGTATATCAAGTAGTTATATCATTTAAATGAGTGTCATCTCTGTTTGACAAAAAAGTTAAAATATGAAATATTTTTAGAACCGGAGAAAATACAGATCGACATAAGGGTAATTTACCTAAATATGACTAAACATTTTTCAATATAGGATCATATGCTTTTATTTTCCAATGTAGGACCATTGGTCATTATCTATTAGTCACTATTCAACTAAATGTCCAACACCACTTGGACATTATTCTTCTTGCTGGTCATTATTAAGTTTTTTTTAGGGAATAAAAAAATTTAAGTCCTACATTAAGAAATGACTTATGTTTTAGTCCTATTGAGTGCAAATTTACATTGATGTAATGTTATGATGAGTGTGTGTCTATATATATATAAAAACTTGTAGGGTATACTTCTAGGCTAAGTAATGGAACTATTTCGCGCATGTTGGGATGAGAAATTTTGAAAAACCTCAGTTCGGACAATCTGATCCTTTAAAATATTCAAATGTGTATCAATATCTCAAAAAAAAAATAAATCCAAAAGTCTGTGGATTTCCATTGTTTTAAAAAGGTGGAATCTTTGCAATGAAGGTAGAGTGCGCCTTTCTGACTAGGATTTCACTACTACGTAAAGTAGTTGATGATGCATGTGAATGCCATGCCATGCCATGCAGGATCTCAATCCCCTTTTGTGTACGTATATATATATATATATATATATATACACACACATATGGGCCACCGCAATTATATTTTATATTCAACGTATATATCGTCGATAATCTATGGCGGCGGCGGCGAAGAATAATCAGCTGCAGATTGTTCCGGCGGCGGCGGGAAGAAGAAAAGTGGAAGCGCAGTACGTAGAAATGATGGTTCCACTCTATTCCCACGGTTGCGAAAGGAAGATCAAGAATTCATTATCCCACCTCAGAGGTTTATACATACTTTCATCATTTCTAGTATTGGAGCATATTTATAGTTTAATATTTCTAATTGAGTTTTGTCATTTAGATCATTTTCACTCGAAACCGATCGTAGAATAACAAGTTAGTGACAAAAAGAACACATTTTAAAATTTCACCATGATCAGACTGTCCACTTATCCTGAATCATACTCGTTTTTTAAAGACACGTCATTTAAATAACTTATTATATAAATTTGAAATAGATGAAATACACTGCAATTAATTTATTAGTCATTTTTTAAAATTATAAGTATTTTAGTGAAAAAAATGAAAGAAAAATTACGGAGTATTTTTAAAAAAAATGGATGAATACAACTTACAGAGTAAATTTAGACATTAAATTACATTGATTTTAACTTAAATGATTCAGTATAAATTTATTGTAAAACTTTATACTTGAAGGGTGATTATTGATGTGTTATTGTACGCTGTAATCATCCCCCGTGTTAAAACTTATCTATATTCGTTAGTTATTGGATAAAGTATTGTTGAAATATTGAAATAATAATATTGCTCTTTTAATTATGAAATACATGATAGAGTATATATAGAAGAGATTCCTAACACAACTAGGAATAGAGAATGGAAACTAACTAACATACAACATCTACTACAAATAGGATTAGGAAGCTGACTAATAATGAAACAGTACCATAACTAATACTACCAGGAGTAATATTAGTTTTATTGTCTAACAAGTATAATACTCATGTCACCTCTTATTTTGTAAAAATTTTTATTTAGGTCCTATATACTCCGTATATAATTTTTATTGTTTAATTTAGACATATAATCTAATAAATTAAATTGAAAATAACTCCATTCAATTCTCGTAAATTGGTACGAGAAGATCGTTTTAAAACGAAGGAAGTAATTTGTAATTCAGTAAATTAACACTTGTTATCATTTTTAATTTTTTCTCCATTTAAAATGGATATATAAATGCAGGAATATACTCGGTGAATGTGGAGTTTGATGAGCAGAAGGTGACAGTGTGGGGAATATGCAACAAATATGATGTCTTGTCCACCATTCGAGCCAAGAGGAGAGGCGCTCGCTTTTGGGACAACGCCGACGATGTCTCCGGCGGCGGCGATGAACCGTCACCGTCGCTCCAACTGCCGGTGCGGAAACGCCGCCCTTCCGTCCCACCGTTGACTCTGCTCAAAACTCGGCCGTCCCTTATCACCTGGAAACTCTCTCTCAAAAAGGCACTCTCCAGAAGTCACTCATTTGTTAAATTAATTAATTAAGTCAAATGTAAATTAAACGTGTTAATTACTCCGTAATACGTACAATTTACTGAGTATTTGCGCGCGTTTTGAAACATATTTTATGGACTATATATGGTACAAGCAAAGTTGTAAATAGAGTTGCGAGTAATTATTTCCTTTTATAAATTATAATTGTCATGTGATTAAAGCTAAGTATGGTTCTTGATTAATGATGTTTGCTCCGTTCTAAACTCTATAATCCGTAGAATTAAAAAAAACGTGTTGATAATGTGGCATTTTATAGACATTCTAAAATACTTTTTGGTATTATATATTGACACGATTAACATTGTATATGTATTTTAACTATTATTTTGATAATAATAATATAGAATTCATATTTTAATATATTTTTTTTGTTTTATTCCTACTCTAATCTTTTTCTTATGAGTAAAGTTTCCATTCACTTTTTACAGGATCAAACGTTATTTAATTCATTGGCCTATTTTCGTTTCTTGTTTGATAAAAATATATAATCATGTCACCTCTAATTTTGTAGATTTTTTCCTATAGTTTTAAAAATCACCGAATCATCTTCGTCAGAAGACGAGAAGTGATCGTTTTCTTCGTCAAAATTCATTTCTTTTCTACGCAATACATATAGTAGTGGATTTTTAAGGGGTGAGGTTCTCAATCCTCTCCACTTTATTTAAACAAATTTTTTTTACTAACGATTAGATTCTAAAAATTAATAGTTTTAAACGACTAGAAAACCGTTGGAAACAGCAATATAAGAGGCAACTTCAGCAGAGCAACGCTCATGGCGCGGTCCGAAACACCGCCGTCACGCTCCGGGTGTCGCCATGGTCATGGCGTGGGGAGGGGGGCGCGGCGGTAACCCACATAACACGTGGTTTTAGTCTCTTAGAGCAAATCATATCATTAAAAAATTTGGTCTAAAAAAACAAAATCATAAAAACTGTTGTTACACTAGCATATCTAGGGGAGGAGACAGTGCGTTAGATGACTAATCAATTTCGACATGATTTGTTCCATCGATCTCAATTAACCCTCATTTATCACAGGTCCCATCCATACATACATCCATCCAAATAATGTACTCCCTCCGTCCTATAATGATCTTCCCGGTTCGCAAAATGAAGAAAAATTCTAAGTTTTTTCAATTTATTTTATTTAAATATTGGTATAGAAATAAAAAATAAAACATACATATTTAAAAACTACATCAAAAGTTCAACAAAACAAGTGGGGACAAGAATATTTTATTTTATCATATAGGCCATGAAAAAACACAAATAAATATAAATTCCCGTGTAGTTGGAATAGTGCTCTGGGAAGATCATTATATGACGGAGGGAGTATGTATATATGCATGTTAGTTGCGTCAAGTACTCCATAATTTATTCCTAACAATTAGAGGACTGGTAATGGGTATAACGCCTGAGGCGTTATTACCCCTTTTAACGCCAAAGGGGCAGCAAACACCGCTCCCTTGTGGTTTCATACGGACTTCATCTCTTGTGCTTCAAAATTTTAACGGGCTTCAAATATTTACTCCCTCCATTCCACTGTCTTTGTCCACTTACCTTTTGGCACATCATCCGATGCACTTATTTAATCCATTTTATCTTGTAATTTGTATATTAAAAAATTATAGAAATTATATATTAATAATCTATATGTTAAGACAAATCAAACAAGATCACACATGACTATATTTAGGCTTACACATTGAGAGAGTTTGATGAGTCAACGTGCTTAGATGAACAATTTCAAAAGTCAAAAGTGGACAAAGACAGTGGGACGAAGTTAGTATATCCTTTCTCTTTAAAAAACATACACAAACATAATCTTTTTTACTCCATATTTTGCTGTTTAAATTCTTTTTAGTAATGTAATTTTTTTTAAAAAAAAAAATTTAACATACTTTTTTTATTGACTGAATTTTTTATTTAATGAATTATTTCAGTTTGCAATATGTTACTACAACTCGGATTTGAATGAAGATATTTTTAGTCATTCGAATAATTAGTAATTTCTTTGTAGTGTTGTTTTTTTATGGATGTAATATTTTTTTAATGAATGTAACTTTTTTTATGAATGTATTATTTTATGAATGTAATATTTTTTAATAAATGTAACTTTTTTAATGCACTAGTCTCCTTTTGATTAATTTAAATAATAAATTAATTAAAATTTATTAATTTAAATTTAGAAGATGTATATTTAAAAATGTAAAAAATGAAGATTTGAAGCCCCGGGGCTTCAAACCCATTTCCACTGGATTTGTAAAGTAAGTTAAAGCTGATGTGGCAGAGAGAGAAATTTTGAAACCCGGTTTGAAGCCTCGGGGCTTCACGAGTATTTCAAGTGCTCTTATATAGAACAAATTAAGGCTAATAATACGGGTGTCTTGTGGTTTACAAAAAGAGCATCTAAATTTTCTCTGTTTGTAAAAATTATCTGAAAAATCTCTATGATTTCTAAATGTTGTGCAGACACCCCATGACATATTTTCAAACATAAAATTACATATATATACCCTTCTCATCTCTATCATGAAGTTTCACTATTTTATGTTTTCAATTTTAATTTTCTTATTTATACAAATAAGTAAAATAACATATACACTCTTCATCTTAAATTAAAATTTTTCATTTATTTATTTTGAAATACAAAAGAAATTTTTGGAGAACTATACAAAAAAATAAATATCAAATAAAATAATCTGTACGAAGCAAAAGAAAAAAGGATACAAAAGGTAATGAAAAAGAAACAAAAAATAAAAAAAATAGAGAAATAGAAAGATGAAATAAAATACAAATAAAAAAAAGTATGGAGTAGTAGTTCTTTATTTTTACTTTCTTTTCCATAATCTTTCCTATCCTTTTTTCTTTTACTTTGTACACTGTATTTTGTTTCATTTTTCATTTTTTAAGTATTTTGTAGCATTCTTCAAAAAAATCTTTTGTTTTTAAAAATAAATAAATAGAAAATTTCAAGTTGAGATGAAGAGCATATATGTTATTTTAATTATTTGTATAAATATAAAATCAAAAATGAAAAAAATAAGACTGAAATTTTATTATAGAGGGAAAGAAGGGTATATATATATATATATATATATATATATATATATATATATATATATATATATATATATTTCAATTTAAATTTAGAAATTGGTGATGGGGCATGTGTGCACAATTTAGAAACCACAAGAATTTTAAAAATAGCCTTTTCAAACATAGAGGGTTTGAGTGTTTCTTTTTTTAAAACCACATGGGGTACCCGTGCTATTAATTCGAAGAAATTATGCTGAAGGCCTAAAGCATAAGATATGCAACTACCAGAGATGGTCTGTCCGGTTCTGATGGATCCTGGCAATGAGATTCATCAATTTGTTTTTTTTAAAAAATATGCCCCTTCTTTGAATCAAGAAAATGGCCCCGTTTGGCATCAGCGTCAGAGATTAGCGTTAGCGTTTTGAAAAAACTATCCGACGGTAGCCTTTAGCGTTAGCGTTTTCAGAATTAATCTGCACCGTTAAAATTTTATCCAAAACGCTAACGCTAATCAAAAACGCTGTTACCAAACAAAGCAAATGTCTCCACATATATACATTTATGGCAGGAAACGTTAAATTATTGGGCGGATTTGAGCAATCTTGGGAGATCCATAACCCCCACAAAATCTAGAAAATCCAAGGGGGTGTTTGTTTTTTTCTGCGGTCTGCGGACCACTATTGTAGACATCTGCAGGAGAAGTGGTGGACCGAAGGTCTGCAGTCTACAAAAAGAAGACTGTTTGTTTTTTTAATGTTTGTAGACTGCTATATAAATTAATGGTGGTAGTGTACGGTGGTGGTGTATGGATGATTGTGGTGGTGGTGGAGGGTGGTGGTGGACGTTGACGGCGGTGGTGGTGGAGGGTGGTGGTGGACGTTGACGTTGGTGGTGGTGGACGGTGGTGGTGGTGGCGGTGGTGGTGGACGACGATGGTGATGGACGGTGATGGTGATGGTGGACGGTGGTAGTGGTGGACGGTGGCGGTGAACGGTTGTGGTGGTGAAGAGAAATAGAAAAAAAAGGAGAACATGTTAGAAGACATTGGTTAATGTCTTCTCCAAGAAGATACCAGGAAGACCTTTTTGAGTGAAATGTCTTTCAAAAAACAAACAATCTGCAGAGCCCATCATCTGCGCGCGTCTGCGCGGCGTAGGGCGGAAAAACAAACACCCCCAAATATCATCATACTTAATTTTTTTTGAATGTTATTGACTCTATTACAACTACGGTGCCACTCCGGTGCCAATGGTATTTTGGGGCACCTTTGGTGCTCCGTTCGCAAAATTGACGATTCTTATCCCCCTAACCCACCCCAAAACCCCCACCCTACCCCCCTAACGAGAACCATACCAATTAAGCTCATTAACAATCCCATTGTTGTGCACGGATGAAGGACGTTCGGGATGACCGATTTCACCTTTTTGAAACGAGAGATTATATTTCCCAAATCAAATAATTGATCGTGAAAAGGGCGGCACTAATTGCCAGAAGAAGTCAATAATTAGTTCCATTATAAAGTTAATTAGTAGCTGCCTCATTTCCCCTCATCATCATTAAAGAAACATTTCTTTAATTCCCTCAAAATACAATTTGGCTTGATCGGAAAGGATAATAGTCGATTATCGATACAATCCGTCCTCCCTGATCCCGTATTAACTCAACAATTCTGCAGAAAAGAAACGATGATGAGGGTTTCGAAGATGGCGGAGTTACTGGTAAAATTGTGCAGAATCGCCATGGGGAGGATGACAAGGCGGCGCTGCTGCTATGGCCACACACCCCTCGCCGCTCTCCGCCGTTTCCTCCGCCGCAGGCCGCTTCGTCCGCCGCCGTATTCCGCAGATCTCAATTACTCCTCTTCCCCCTTCATCATACACTTCTAGTCCTCTGTATTTTGAGTTTTTCTTTGTACTCCCTAATTTGTGTTTCTTTCCAATTTTTTTAATACTCTGTATATAATAAAACGGATCCATTTGAAAATATCACTCTTTAATTCGGTTTTTACTTTTCGGATTCAGATTTACAAGCTACAACATATTCCCTCTCCAAAAACACTCTTTACAATTCGATTTTTTTTGGTGAAAATATGTAGTACGGGTATTTTATAAAAAAAGAGTAAATTTTATGAAAGGAGTCCCCATAAATAGGAGTAAAAATCTTATAAAAGACATAAATAGGAATATGTCTAAATATTTACTTTCGCAGGGGTGGGCCTTAACTTTTACTTCTAATTTTCCCCTTTTAATTTGGCAGTGTGGCGGCAGAGTTGGTAATATGGGGACAGTGGTGGTGGTAGTGGGGTGGTGAAGTTGGTAGTGTGGCGGTGTGGCGGCAACGATGTGGAGTGTGGTGGCGAAGTTTGGTAGTGTGGTAACGGAGTTTGGTAGTGTGGCGACAGAGTTGGTAGTAAGGCAGTGGTTGTAGCAGTGTGGTGTTTCAGGTGATGGCAATGTGGTGGCGGAGTTCAGGAGCGTGGCAGTGGTGGTAGTAGAAGTATGACGGTGATGGTGCTAATAGGGCAGTGGTGGAGTGTGGAAGTGTGGCGGTGGACTTGGGAGTGTGGTGACGAAGTATGGCAGTATGGAGGGATGGTGGTTGCAGTGTTGTGACAGGGTTGGCACTGTGGAGTCTGGCGACAGAGTTGGTAGTAAGGCGTCGGAGTTGGCATTGTGCCAGCGGTGGTAGTGTGGCGGCAGCGGTGGTAAAAATTCTATCATATCAAGGGTATTTTTAGAAATTCAACACAAAATATCTCAGCTTTAAATTTTTTTAAAGCCAAAATGAAACATCTTTGTATGGCAGAAGAAGTATATGTGAACATATATTGTTCGTGCTCAAAAAATCAAATATAGAAAGAGAAATCATAGTCTCACAAATAAAAGCATTTCATCGAGGGGATTTGGTTGTTTTTGGTGGTTTTCAAAAATGATATATTTGTGTTTTTTGTCTCCTTGTTTGAATACTTATTGACATTGCCATTACCTTTCAACAATTTTTTGTTTCCAAATTTCTTAAACCAAAGATGGTGTAAAGATTCTTTTATGAGAATTTAAAAGGCTTTTGAAATGGGGATGAGATTATGAAAACTTGTGGCATCTTCCGCCCTTTAATTTCATCATGATGATAACTCTTTGCAAGCTTGTGCAATAAATAATGCTATAGACTTTTTGTAACTTTGAGTGTTATAACATATCTCCCCTGGAAATGAAATAATTAAGATTTAAGATTACTTCATGTAAATTTTCTTGAGTCAAAATGGCCATGTAGATAAGCATTTGTATATCTAACTACTAGTACAAGCACTCATCAGATTAATTATTACCTCACACTCCGTATGTCTATGGTCTAACCTTTTGGGTTAGTATTTGCATTTACTTCTATGGCCGGATTATATTTGATTTACCACAATTTGATCACAAATCATGGGAAAAAATAGTTATTTGTAATATAAATTTAGTGAAATTGTGTTCAATTTTAAATATAGGAATGATATATCAAATTTTTATAGTCGGGAACCAATTCAACCAAAAGCTCAAGCTTGTGGTTGTGGTCCAAGAATGATTATTATATTATACTCTAACACGCCCCCTCACGTGCAAGCGTGACCTCTTTGAGCCTTGCACGTGAAACCTTAATTTTTTTAAACTGGATGACGGTGAGTTTCGAACTCGTGACCTCTTGGTTATCAAGGCTCTGATACCATGTCAAGGAACCAACTCAACCAAAAGCTCAAGCTTGTGGTTGTGGCCCAAGAATGATTATTATATATACTCTAACAATAGTATTTCATTATTTAAAAGTATATTTAATTTGTAATCAAATTGTTTCGCAGTTTGATCAAAAACTCAAAATCTGGTAATATTTTTAGAGGGAGTATACAATGGGTATTTTGCGTTGATTAAGGCTCCGTTCCGTTCAACTTATTTTTCTGATAAGATCATATTTTTTATAGTTCTGATTTGATCTAATCTGATCTGATCTTATCTGATTGTGGTGAAAGTTGACAGTGATGGTGATGGCAGAGGCTGCGATGCTGCGATGCTGCGGCGGTCAGCGGTGGGACTGGGGCAGTGGTGTGGCGGTGGTTCAGGGGATCTTGACCAGGGGTATGGTGACAAAACAAAAAAGATAAGAAGGTATTCTCGACATTTCTATCCTAAGATCAGCACCCCATAAAATTGATTATCCAAAATCAACACACCAAAATTGATTTTCCATATTTGGGAAATTTAAAAATTTTGAATTTGGATTTGATTCAAATTATTCTTATTCATAACAAAACTTAATTTGAAATCTAGTTATGGTGGAACTAGATTGGTAAATAAGGCCCAATCCAACACAGAGATAATAACAAGGGGAATTAACGTAAATATCACTAAAACATAATGACTTTCCCTAAATAGCATCATATGTATTTTTTTCCAATGTAGCACTTTTAGTCATTATCGATTAGTCATTATTCAAGCAGATGTTAGCTATCACTGGACATTATGGATATTATTAAATGCTATTTAGGGAATAAAACAGTTTAAGTGCTATTTAGAGAAATAACTTAAGTTTAGTGCTATTTAATGCAAATATTTTTAATAACAATACGGAATTAAAAAGTATGTGAACATATATATTATATGTTCTTAAAATTGAAGTATAGAAAGAGAAATGATAGTCTCACAAATAAAAAGCTGCAAAAGATCTCAAATTTCTCATTTGGGAATTTAAAAAGGCCAATTTTAAAAACATTTCATCCATGCAATTTATTTTTCTAGTGGTTTTCAAGAACAATAAATTTGTGTTTTTGTGTCTTTGTTCAGGCCGGGACTTCTATGTTTTAATAACATTGATCGAGCTCCGTGATTGCGCTCACAATGTCTCCGTCATGGCTTTTGATGAGAGCTCTTGCAGCTTTGCTCCAGGAGACCCTCTGATTGTTCCATAACCAATTTGATGTAACCAGGTTCGAATCAAATCCGGTCTAGTCAATCTCCTCTTTCACGCGCTCATCTTCATCCTTGTGTCCGATGCTTCTGAGATGAATCTCGGCTCGTACGTACGTAAATAATACTCCCTCCGTTCCACAAAACTCTTCCTCTTTCGTTTTTTTTTGCTTTCCACAAAACACTTCCACTTTCTATTAAAAAACCACTTTTACCCCTACTTTTTCATATCCTACCTATCACATCATACTTTTTCACTAATAATCAAACTATCACATCTTACTTTTTCCCATCACATCAGGGCAAAATTGGAAAGAACCAAAATTACACTTTCCTTATTTTTCTCCAAAATCAAAACCGGAAGGGTTTTGTAGAACGAAGGGAGTACCTTCTCTGTTCTGAGCACGTTTTTTTCATCCAATGCCGAAACAGTGGGTCATAGTCTTTCTTGGTCAAGCCCAAGTTAAAAAAAAGATCTTTAATTGAAATCTTTGGACGTAATTTTAGTTTACTTTTCCAAACTACTTCGGGTGTGGAAGTTTTAATTCACCATTTATAGGATTTAACTGGACACACTGTTGTGACTTGTGACACTAATCTAAAAGTAAAGAATGTCATACTGAATTAACTAAAAGAATAAAGCTACTCGTACACCAAATGTTATATCCCGAATTGTATACCATAAGCGTGCACAGATACTTTGATGTTTATGCTGACACAAAATAGTAGTGCAATTTTTTTTATTGCGCTAGCATTTTGTGACAGTGTCAACTATCAAAGTGTCAAAACACACTTTTGATTTACAATTTAGGATACAACCTTGGTGTAGACCTAGGGTACCTGCAACTAGAGTCATTCAAAAACAAATGGAAAAGCCTAATGCTAAAAAGTACTGTAGTTCCCAACCCCCCCTACCCCCCAAAAAAAACAATGTGACACAAAGGTTGTGGGAATCAGAGAAACTTCCATGATTCCCAGGAGCTCAATTGGTGAGCTCAAAGATTGCATTCACAATGTCTCCGTCATGGCTTTTGAGAGCTCTTACAGCTTTGCTCCTTGAGACCCCTAATTGTGACATAACCAATTCGACGTCACGGGGTTTAATTCTGGTCTCATCGACCTCCTCCTCCTCCACCCGTGCAGATGCTTCTGATATGATTTTGGGCTTGTTAATGTCTGAAACCATTCCGGCCAGCTTTACCAGGTGGGCAACCTGGCTCTTCAACGGGGGGTTCGGATATCCAAACTTTGCCTCTCGCCCCTCTCCAATTATGACATACCTGTCCGAGGTGGTGCTTTTGTAGACGTCCGGCTTTGACATGATGAAAAATTCCTGTGTGTGGCATGTGACAATAAATTGATCATCATCATGCCCAATGTTCACATTCAAAGGAGTGACTAGGTGGCAAAGCCAATATGGATTGGACACACAAACATTGAATTGAGATTAAGAAGAAAACATACATTTTTTGATCTCTTGATAGCCACCCTAGTGACAACATCTGAAACAGGTTTCATGCCAAGTTTCAACATGGCCTTAAGAGTCTTCCTTTCATATTTGCTCTGCTTTGAATTCTCATTGCCATTACCGTCTGCAGCAAAATCATTGAAGATGACAATCAAACAAAAACTCCATAGTGAAGATTGAGCATAGCCACAACATCAACCAGAATGGAAGCCAATTTCACCAGAAAAAGGACCCAATTTGGAAGTGCACAAATTCCTACTCTAGTACTGTGGAGGTGAAATAGCAGATAATGAGATGAGATAAATCACAACTTCACCTTCCTTCTCAGATTCTGTTTTCTTAAGTTAACAAGATTAATAATTTTTTTTTAAAAAATACAGTTTTGGACAATTCAAGTCAGAATAATGGTCACACTTTCAGCAAAATCATACAGTTTGGAGACTTGAGAAAACCCGGCCATGTTTTTTTTATTCTTAAAAGGAATGAACTGCAAATCCATCACTCATCAACAACAATTGGCTGGGTATTATCAAGGAAACGATTTGACAATAAGCGTATGAACTATGAACATCGGGAGGAATTAGATAATTTGGATGGAATTGAAAGATAAGCCTAGTAGGAGATGAGAATGGGAACTGATATATACCATCTCCGGGTTCATCTTCGTCGTCGTCTTCAGAATTCACAAGTACGTAATCTTCATCGCCGGCGACGATCGGATCAGCCTGTTCCACCTTCTTCTCGGCATCACTTCCTCCAGGCGCCATCTCCAATTCGGTCTCTCACAGTCTCGACTGGGAAAAGCAGCGGGGATTATGGGGACTCTGGAGTCCAGTCTCTAGATTAAATATAATGGGCCAGGTACGGATCATGAACCCATTAATTTGTAAGCCCAATCAAATAAAAGGCCCGTTTAAAGAGCCGATACATTGGGCTTGTTCTGCCAAACACGTTTCTTTGTTGTACCTGTGAGTTTTTTAAAAACGGATTTCTCTAATTAATGTGAACATCAATATCATATTTGAAAATTTTAGCCGAGTAATTTCTTTCTAAATCTCATACTAGATACATTCAATCTATACTATATTTAAAAAGAGAGAAATTCCATATTGCACTTTTCCACCTAAGTGTTTCAGCCACAAAAAATAAGTGTTGAAACTTGAAATGGTAAGTGTACAATGATTATGCACCCGTGCATGTATAATTTAATATGTAAGTACTGTGTGTAAGAGAATTTCATTATTATTTATTCTCTCACTTTTCTTTTATAGTTACTATTAATTATTATGGTGCTGTGTAATAATAATAATAATAAACGTAATAATAATAATTATAGAAAATGTAACATGTAAACTTTAATAATAAAAGTGTAATAATAATAAACATAATAATCATTATTGGTACCACGTATAATAAAAAGAGTAACATGTAAAACTTTAATTGTTAATTATTAATAAGGTAATTTTATACCTTATAACTTGTGGTACCATGTATAATAAAAAAGGTAACATATAAAGGAGTAATAACAATATGGTACCGTATAATAATAATAATCATCATCATAATAATAAATATAATAATAATAAAGGTAAGTTAGTTTTTTGCTAATGAAAGTGTTGACTTGGTTTAAAAAAATGTATTCTCATACCTTATTTTTTTACCAAAATTCTAAATTATAAAATTAATTATTAAGAATTAATGAAGTAATTTCATACCGTATAAATTTTGGTACCATGCATAATAAAAAAAAAGGTAACATGTGAAAGAATAATAATAATAATAATATGGTAATGATATGCTACTATATAATAATAATAATAATAATAATAATAATAGCAATAAATGTAATAATTATAATGATAATAAAGGTAAGTTATAAAAAACTGTATGTTGCAGTTTCAAGAGTAACAAATTATACTGGCTTGAAGACTCTGATATGCAATGAAGACAAAGTTTCCACAAATTGTACGAATAATGTACTTTATAAAAAAGTCTTTCAAAATTTGTAAGTAAAAAACTTTGTACCTTGAAATAATAAAATCTTTATATACTACGGAGTATTAGACATCATGTTCTATCATTCAAAAATAATCTTAATTTGGTAACGTAAATATGACCCGTGTAATACACGAGTGTAATACTAGTGTTCTATTCATAAAACGGATAATTCTTAATTTCTTATACCTTTAACCCTTCCGGTAACACCTCCCAACCCAATCCCAATCCCAAACAATCCTTTCATCCACAAGAATTGCACCATGCAAGTTTATTGACTTTAAAGTTAAAAAAATTGACCTCAAACTCAATTAAAATTGCTGGGTGGATTGACGTGGGTGGGGGATGCCAGGATGTGTTGGAGTCAGGAACGGGTGGGAGGAATTACTAGAGAGAAAAGAAATATTAAGTTTACAAACAAAGTATCGTATGTGTCTCAATTAGAAAATTGTTTATCGTGGCCATTCAAAGAAAGTAGACATAGAACCTAACCAGTCTCTATTAGCGTGAGTTGTCCTTTTGTGGTTTTAAGATCCTCACGTGAAATCTCACACCTTACAAAAGGTCGATATTTTGTATGATATCTATACACTAAGTTCATAAAATGAGCATGAACCTTAGGACTATATAAGAATGCCGGTCTATTTGTGTGTATAAGTTTTGAGTTGTGGTTAATGTCCTTACGGAGAAATACTCAATGTGGAAAATAATATTTCATTTTTATGTGCTAAAAAAGAAACTTTGTTTCAACCATGTAAATTTAATTTTCTTAATTTCTGCCTCTGATCAATTATGAAATATTATTGTGTGAGGTTGGGCGTAGTGCCCCAGGCCACGCCACCCTTGTCGTGATCCTCTGTGGCAGTGTCACGCTTGCAGATGAGTCACAGGAGCACCGCCCCTTTATTTAAATTTTTTTTCTAACGGTCACTTTTGAAAAATTTTAAAAAACTAAATTATAAATGCAATAAATTCAAATTTAAAACCATACTAGCTACCCCCATCTTATATTTAAATAACCAAATCTCAACCTTTTTTCAAATGCAATCACTTCTTCATTATTTCAAATATTTTTATATATTTTTTAAATTTTATATTTCTATGCATAACATGAATCCAAACAATGTTAATCGTCAGTTTTTTTACAATAACGGTCTACTCTTCAATCCAAACGATCTGAACGCCCGATATTTGTTTGATAATTGTTATTATAACACCCTAAATCCGTCCAGGTCTACAACCCCTTCTGGACTAAAATATTAATTTGGTAATCGTAAAAATTCAAACCATTTTAAATAATTTTAAACTTTATTCCATAATAAAGTATTCAAAATAGTTACGGAATATTTAAAGTTACGGAAGCGTAAATAAAAAATGTCACGTCACAATAACAATTGATTAATTTATTTCTTTTGAAATATCAATTTGAGCCATCATATCCTTCCCAACAATC